GAAGTATAAACCCAAAAAGCTTATCGTTGGTAAACATCATTTTGATATCTCACTATGTTCAGCAGTGTCCTGTCGTCTTTCCTTACCATAAAAGACATGTGGTACAATATAGTAATGAAAAACAGGTACAATGAAATCTTCGATTCATTGTACAGTTCATTGTTCTTTTATCTTTTCCAGCCGTCCTGAAAAAGAAAAGAAGACATGTAATAGCATGTCAAAAAACACTCGTATACTCGTTTGAAGATAATGCCCAGATACTGTAGATGAGACTCTCTTTCCGGACTTGCAATCAGTCATGGGCCGCATGAGTGTCCGTGGCGTTCTGTTAACTGATGAGCGTTGGTTGTCTTTGACCCTGACATGGAACGATGGTCTTTTCGACATTCAGTGGCCCAACTGCCAGCTAGCACGCAGCGACACTTCACCAGCCCTACGCAGTCACCAACATACATGTACAAATTTGAGACGTCAAAAATCTTCATCGATAAATATCTGAAGAGTTCGTGCAGCACTTGTTAAGCCGAAAGATTCTTAAGTCTATCATATGGTCTAATTCGTTCTAAGTCAACCGCAGCTTTTCAAGAGCTATTCGGTGCGCCTTCGGGAACACAGGTAGTCCTGTAGTCGTGAAGTGATGTTTAACATTACTGGTTACACATGGCTAATTTGGTTTGCACTTTTCGGAGATTTGTTGATATTATTGATTGATCGTATGGATTGCCGCGACTGAGGATAAACCATAACCGGAAAGGAATCTACATAAACAGATCAATTAGTATTTTCTGTTGAATTTGAACTAAGGTCTGAACCTTCAAATTAGATCTTTCATCCAGTATACTAAACTCCGTTGGCATATATCGATGTGTAAATGATTATATAGCAGGTCTATATCGATGATCGGCATAGAGACATCAGCAACAACGAAAATTCAGTGGATGGGTTTGCGTAAACCCACGTCGTGATAAACATGGCGCGATTTGTTTCTTATTTGTCACCTGTAAGTTGAAAACTGCTTCTTGCATTCAGCCGTTAGAAACCTCTGGAAGAACAGTAGCTTCTGAGCCGATGTGGACGAAGTGGCGAACTTTCGTAATCACAGCAGGGATGTGTAACAGACAGCTATGTTCGCCGGCTAAAGTTGACGTAACGTCATTTCATGTGGTTTGAGGTTTTTCTTTAACTGAAAAGCCTTGGAGTTCGAAGTTCTGATGAAATCCAGAATTTTATCGACAGATACAGCCAGCTCGTCTACAGAGTTGTTTGAAATGCAACAAGCACTGACTGAATATAGTAGAAAAATTATCGTATGAACTAGGAATTCCAGGATTAACGCAACTGAATTAAGAAGACACAGGCACAACGAATGTACTGTATTTAGAATTCGAAATCGAGCATTCAACAAGTACAAAAGAATCACTAGTTAATTCAAACACCACACTACACCTGCTGAGGAACCTTAGACAAGAAGGGTTATCTTAACAGGCCATCGTCGAACGTCTGTTGACCAATAACCTCTTTTATTTGTAACAAAATATCTGTTACTTAGTCATGTTGTAGATATATGTCATTGATGGATTGATATATATATATAAGGATTCACATTCCCGGTCTGGTACCAGTTATGCAATTGGTAGATGTGTATTCGAATTGGGATTACCAACTGTAGCGTGGCGTCGAGTTGAGATTAACTATGAACACCGCTACCAAGAAACACGTGCCAAATAAATCAGAAGGCGAGGGTTGGACGTAACCAAATAGATCCATAAAATCCCCGAGAAGCCAAATATCAGAAGACAGTTAATGGACCAAGTCGACGTTTATTAGCTGGCGATCTCGTGGCATCGAAAGGATACCGAGATCGTGCCAGGATACAACCTTGGTTACAGAAGGTAACCGAATTCGTGCGAAATTACAATCGAAGTGTAAGCAAGAGAATGGAAGCACAAAATGGCTGTCATTAGCACAGTCAAACAAAAGCACATTAAAATAAACACTGGTACAGTTGGTTATAATGATAATTGTTTTTATTAAACCAGTCGTGTTCTTGTGATAAATGTGAGTCACTACAGGAGCCCCCCGCTAGAAAGGGTTTACACTTTCGATAAATAGCGGTTTGAATCGTGGGACTGATCGGCTGACGAGCGATTGTAGGACGGAAAGATTGGCGAACAGGAAAGCGATCGTTGATCGTCGAGTTGCCAACGAAGGTCGTTTTCGGAGAACGGTACCAGGAGCGATGTGCTGTATTTGTTGCTTGAGTTGACATGCTACACCAGAGTGGTTTGTATCCAGAATCTGAAGAGGGCGTTCGTAGGGGTGTGCACGAGAAACGCTGCAGACGTAGGACGAAACCACGTTGAGCCGATGAACCAGAAGCGACCATAACGACAAAGTTCGAGACCAAGCGTATGCCAAGCATTCGAAACCAATATATCGACTGAGTACGTTGACAAGAGCATGGGTGATCAGGCCAGCTTTCGCCAAAGTTGACTGAAGTCGACGGAACCAAACGGAGATGATCGAAGGCGTGGGCTCAGGAAATAAAAAGAAAATCAAAAAAAAGAAGAGAGTAGCATACGTGTAGTATAGGAATAATCCTACACCGTATCGGTTGTTGACTGTGCGACTATTCGCGGAAGCGTACGGGTAACCGTACTCGGCGACGGGAACGTGAGACGGCAGTCTCGTTTGCGTCGCGTGAGCCTGCAATCTCATCCGAGGTCAGAGGCGGCGTGGTCTGCTGATTTGGACGTGAGACTATCGTCTCGTCCGTAGACGGTGCAGATGACGCGTGCTGTTGACCGGGACGTGAGAATGAGGTCTCAGATGTATCTAGCGTGGGACCTGAAGAAGACTTAAGGATCCCGCTAGGTTTAATAGGTCTAGCATTGAATCTCAGGTTACCAGATAGGGCACTGTCATCGACGTGTGCTGGTTTGAGACGATCAACGCTGACGATCTCGACGCGTCCATATCGATCAACCTTGAAGGTCTTTTCGTGACGAGCGATCACGTGGAAAGGGCCTTCGTAAGGTTGTTGCCAAGGTTTGCGTACCGAATCTACTCGTACAAAAACATGTGAACAGGTAGATAACTCTCGAGGGAGAGCGACCTGTCGATGTTGTATTCGAGTTGACACCGGAGGCAGCGTTCGCATAAATGCAGACAGTCGATGGACGTAGTCTGATTTAGCGAAATTAGGTCTGCTCCGTGGTGTGAAGAATTCTCCGGGCAGACGCAATGTCGTGCCGTATACAAGTTCAGTGGCGGAACATTGGATATCTGCCTTTAAGCTCGTTCTGATCCCTAAAAGAACGAGCGATAAGGTTTCGTGCCAGTTGCCATTTTCGTGTGCTCGTAGAGCACTTTTAAATTGGCAGTGAAACCGTTTACTTAACCATTTGGTGCTGGGTGGTAGACGGATATGCTTATGCGTATGCATTCCGTACCAAGCAGTCGGGTCAGCGAGGAGAATCGTTAATAGGGTAACATTTCTCGAATAAAGCGTGGAATTCATCATCACGCGAATAAAAAGTGACAAGGATTCGGTACACATACGTGTGAGTCTATTATATTAATACTATTCTTATCGTTATCCGTCATGTCGCGTATATTATATATTAAAAAATATGAAAATATACGACAGACGTGGATAGATAAATCATAGACTCACCGAATTGGCTTCTTTGGAAGATTTGATCAGAAGTCGAGGCGTGTTCCAAAATACGGGTCACCAATTGTATTCGAATTGGGATTACCAATTGTAGCGTGGCGTCGAGTTGAGATTAACTATGAACACCGCTACCAAGAAACACGTGCCAAATAAATCAGAAGGCGAGGGTTGGACGTAACCAAATAGATCCATAAAATCCCCGAGAAGCCAAATATCAGAAGACAGTTAATGGACCAAGTCGACGTTTATTAGCTGGCGATCTCGTGGCATCGAAAGGATACCGAGATCGTGCCAGGATACAACCTTGGTTACAGAAGGTAACCGAATTCGTGCGAAATTACAATCGAAGTGTAAGCAAGAGAATGGAAGCACAAAATGGCTGTCATTAGCACAGTCAAACAAAAGCACATTAAAATAAACACTGGTACAGTTGGTTATAATGATAATTGTTTTTATTAAACCAGTCGTGTTCTCGTGATGAATGTGAGTCACTACAGATGTCTTCCTTTTTATATTCCATCCCAGTTTGCACATAACTTGGAGAAGCATGTATAGTTTTAAGGTAATCAGCTTGAAGGATAAGTCTACAGTTCTTTATAGAAGCATACACATTAACAAAATTGAGCAAATTCGTGGACCAATTATACTACCCAGAATGACTCCACTGATAACACAGAGAGATTCCGAAATACACGAGCTTAGTACATGGATTCGATTGTTAAAGTAAGAATCAAGACAGAGCAATGGTAGGATTTGTATCCTAAGATTATAGTTTCAAAAACAGGAGGCCATGAGGAATGTTCTGCGCAGTATAATACAAAGATAACAGGCCTGTTATTTATGTGTTTGGTTATGTGGTCGGAGAATTCAAGGTGAGATTTTATGAAACCATAGTTAGCAGTAAATATGAACTCTTCAGCTAGGAAAAAAAACAGTTTTGTGATTTCTTAGTATAATTACCAAAGCGCATGAAATGACGAAGATAATGTTAGTAGGACGATATACAGACACGTCTGAATTAGAGCCGGATTTGTAATAACGAGAGCGGGGTACTCCAAGGACCGTTTTTAAGAAAATGCGAGAGTATACTGTTGACCCCAGATCTACCAGAGTATATTAGTGGATTTATATCATTGCCAACAAGTCCAAAGTTTAAGACAATCGTACCGAGTTTCCTTATGGTACGTGTGAAAGGTTTAAGAGTTTTGAATACAATGTCATCAGTAAATAAAAATAAAATATTTGTAATATCCCAATGAGTAGAAAATTAGATTTTCTGACGTTTCGTGACTTAGTGTAAGTCACTTGTCCAGAGAATAAATAACCAAGAGGTGACTAACACTAAGTCACGGAACGCCAGAAAATCTAATTTTCTACTCATTGGAATATTACAAATATATTATTGTTATTTATAACAACCAACCCAATGCTCAATTTATTAAATCAAACCTTGGTTATGATACCTACAGTGTCAACAGTGTAAATGTTGTGTGTTATTGATGTTGACAGACACAAGTGGTATGTATCACCAGTCGAAAGTGGAATACATAGAGGCAGAAGGTTAAGAGAACGAGAACAAAGAGTGATTGGTGTGGAAACGAAGGAACAATCAAGTCCGATACAACTGATTGGTTGGTCTTCCCCGTTCACTGCATAAGGATGAAGAAATATATACTCAAGTTCCTCGAAACGACTTTCTGTAATATACTTCATCAAGAAAAAGTTGAAGGGATAGATATCTTAGGGGATTTAGTCGTTTTTTTAATAGTCGGTAAGTTAAGCTGATTTTATCACTAGTTGGAGCATAACATTCCTTTCTAGTAAAACTTTCGGTCTCATCGGTGCGAATTTTTCATGAACTTGGTGTACTGTTACTAGAGCTAAAAAGTCACCAGATTAATGGAACAGTGGGCTGAGGTAGCGTAGCTTGGTCCCTATCGATTTGTTTATGTATAGGTTTACAGAAGCACCATGGAACAATTTGACCAAAGCAGTACTCGAAATCAATGTAAAGTACCACTAGAGCTGCGTTCAAGCCACTACTTAAGAGGCAAGCTTCCCAATTAAGAATATTCAGTAGTCCGGAATAATAAATCCAGTTTATCTTCTTGAGATTTCTATACAGGGAAACCGATAAGCTGTTTATTGAATTTAAGAGGAAAATAAAAAGGTGATAACCCCTTTGTGATAAATAAGGAGCTAACATGAGTGATACAAGGAAGAATAAAAAGTGTAAATATGACATAGTGATTTCTCTGAATGGGAAACAAGACGCTATATTTACGACCATTCACTCCGACTGTATCAGTGAAATCATTATATTTCGATAGAACACAAATGGGGCTTGACTTGGCTTTCAGCATCTTCAAAATCCCTTAGATTAAATAAAGGAAAACAAGGCGATACGTCCAAAGGCATCTATACAGTTCAGAAGCTATGTATCAGAATTAGGTGATTTTTATAGACCTGGTAATAATCTAAGGTTATCCGAAGCAATAAGTACTAAAAGTGAGTCTCGTAACATTAGATTCTCTTCAAAATACAAAGGGGCTTGGAAGGGTGTACTTATCTGACTAAGCTTGATTGCTATTTTCGCAAAAGAAACCCGAAAACAAACAAACCGAATGAGTAAAAATTTATAAGGTCGTCAAACTAAACGACGGCATACTATGAAGTTATGAGCACCCTTACTGATGTCACAGTTATGTTAGCTATAACACAAAGTAGTGAAATAGTGCAATATGACTAAACAACTTATTTTCTGGGTGATTATACAAACAAAACATAGTCATAACATTAGACTGGGAATTTAAAAAAGCTTAAGAAAATTACAATTATCACACCACAAGTGATACAAAAGTTCACAGAACATAAATAAATCTAATCACAGTTTGGGCAGTAGTATTAAACTAATATTTGGAATACGAAGTAGCAGATGAAAATCGATATTATCTGTACATAGATTTGCTCAAATATCTTCCATTCCAGGAATTGGGAAGCTAGACGCGAAATCAGCAACACGATGACGTAAATCCTCAATCTTGGATTTTATGAGCTCATCTTTTTGAAGGGTAAGTTGAAAAGATTTAAGATTTTCTGAAACAACAAAAAGATTTATTAATTCATGAAAAGAACTTGACCATAAGAATGTTTATTATAGTACATATTTGTGTACCATAAACCATATTTTTCATACAAATAAAATTACAGTAAAAACAAGAAATATGCACACAGAATCGTAGCAATCAAATCGAGCTTTAATGAATGTATACTTGAGAAAGGATAAATGAAACAGTGACATTAGTTCAATCTCAGTCTATGTATAAATGAATATCGTACCAATAATCGTTCCCTTCGATAGTCTACGTTCACATTATTTGGAAAATACTCAGAATGGTATCGTGTGCCAGAAGCCGATGGGAAGTGGAGACCTAGCCAATGTACCTGAAGAGGTCTGTCATGATAGAAACGAAATGTGATCACAGTTTAAGTACATAAAACAAAAGGAGCAGTATTTTGGTGGCTGTTCTAAGGCGTAGGTGGTAGAATTATGTTTCAGGATAATTATGATGAATTTGTATGGATCCTGTAGTAACGGATTCATTCATATTCCTATCGTAAATAAATAAACCTAGTTGAAGTCACGATATCATGAAACGAACGTATCTACATGAAATATGACAGCTTCATACAAAAATGTGGTCAACTTACAACACGTACTAACGTATTGAAAACCGGTAAACATAATCAGAATGGTTCGAAAAAGAATTAGTAATCAAAGCTATATAAAATGGGAGGAAGTTTGGATACCTGTACTTGAAGGACTAGTTTCACAGATCATCTAGATCATTTTAGAGATTCGCCAAACACTGGCATATTTATATCATAAAGAGTAACTCAGAAAGGAAATCTTACTTGAGACAGACTTGACCACAACTGTCAGGTCAAGTAATTCGTCAATAAATGAAGCAACTTTTTCAAAATCTTTTTCTTTAAACCCACGAGTAGTTAGCGCTGGAGTACCTAGAGAATGGAAATTTTTTAAAAATATCTATCATGAAACGTATCATATGTATACGAAACGTTTACCAACAACCTCCATTTTCAATGAATTCAGATGACGCACTAGAATATTGACACCAAAACTAAATATTAATAATTCATCAATTGAATATTTTCAAAGTATAATATCAATAATCGCATGGTATTAAATGAAATATAAAAAGATATGAATGATAAACATAACCCCAAGTAAATCTACTCATTTTATCCACATATATATTGCAGTGGGACACAGAATCGTTAGTGTTACTTAGCACATGTCGAGCGACAGCAATTTTACATTCTAAGTTGAATTCTCATGTAACTAATTAACGTAATTATCCACATAGCTACGAGATGAATTTTCCGAATGTTACTTTTATTAATAAGCTGACCAAACCCATAAAAATGAAGCAGGATTTGAATCGTTGTTGAAAGTTGACTGCTTTATTTACAATACTACAGTCTGAATATAGATCTGGATGAGTTGTCGTTCTAGAATGTAATTAGTCATCTCTATATAAAAGAAAACATTTATTACTCTTAGTATTGTAAGCGACTACATTATTTTGTATTTGATATTCAAGACCTTTCAAACACTATGTTCAGTATTAACGCCAAGAATAGAATAACAAGAAATGAATAGTTAGACGATGTTTATGAAGTCACGTGTGTTGGATACAATGCAGTATATGCTAGAAGATTACAGAGATAGCTGTCAGTAAGAGCAAATAAGTTTAAACGCTGTGTGGAATGAATTTCGAAAACTAAAGAAGAGCTCGTAAGTTTTGAAAATAGATAGTTAAGGAGATCGTATTTGAGGGAAACAAGGTGGGAAACTCACACCTCGAAAGCTAACATGCCTCATAAAGAAAGATTGACTGCTGCTTCCCCACATTTATGAACAAGTTCCAACACCCTGAATGGACGAAAGCTACAACCTGACAATTAATGACAAATAAGTGAGAGATCAAAACTAATGATTGACTCCTATTTCAACCTATGTCTGGTATGATAGATAAGAATTAGGCGTAGTAGCCAAAATTGATTTTATCACTTCGTAAGTTCACAACAAAGAAAAGTAGTTTACACCTGTGGCTTAAATTGATTACCATAGTTTTTATTTCTCTCAAAATATTTTGTAATTAAGTGTGTACATTTGTAAAAAATATTTTGTTTATTTTTATGTTATCCGTTTATTCGACGGCTTTAACATTATTAATTTAGTTTTCTTGAGGAATCGTCACTACAGAAAAACTTCACATAAATCTTAGTAAATGATTGCACAATTTCAAACACACTAAGTCTCTCTAATATAACTTAAACTGACACGTTACACATGATAAAACAATTTAACTTGACTTAATCCCTGCTGACTTTAGTAAACACCATACCATAAACATAAACGCAAATATATCTTAATAGACAAGTGTTTTATTACAAATTCATTTATTTTATGTTTCCAAATTTTTAAGGACTATAGATAATTCATACGGTAAACAAATGAATTCTTCTGTGGTCCTTGATCTCATATATGTATTTTTATCTCATGATCAAATAAATAGTCAGTCAGTCAGTCAGCTACAACGTAGGACCAGGCACATATGTGCATCGGTCCAGGTTGCCATACCTCATTAGCACAACAAGATGAACACCGGATTCATAGGAGTGGTTAGGTCAAAGGTTGCAATAAGGATATAGTATAGGAAGGAAGAATTAGTTCGTAGAAAGAAAGATATGAAGTGATTTTATTCTCTTAGTTTAAGGGAAGGCAAAGAGTGTATACACCGACGCCATTGTGATCGATTCTGAGCCATGTCACCAAGAGTCTCCAACCATTGGTTACGAAAGTCACGCGGACCCCAACCAAGTAGTCTGCATCTACCAACATGGCTAAGACTAGAAGTTAGTGACTTCAAGCACTGATGCCACGTTTTGGTTTGGCCGCCCCTAACTTTCTTCCAACCATCCCCTACACCGGTTAGCATTGCACGTCGTGGTAATCGGTGTTCAGGCATACGTAATACGTGGCCCAACCATCTCAGTCGATGAAGATTCATAACCTCATCAACTGATTTACCATCATTCCCTAATACCCTGCGTCTAACCTCACTATTACTTACCCGGTGATCCCAGCAGACGCCAGCAATATTTCTAAGGCATCTGTGGTCAAATACTAGTAGCTTACGGATGCCTTCTACTCTTAAGGGCCATGTTTCGCTGCCGTAAAGTAAGACAGAACGGACTGCCGCGCAGTATACTCGTCCTTTTATTGATAGACGGATATCTCGCCTCCGCCAAAGGTGACGTAAGTTGGCAAAAGCCAAACGAGCTTTTCGAATCCGTGCTGAGATTTCGTCAGACACCAACCCATTAGGGCTGATCAGACTTCCAAGATAAGTGAAGTTGTCGACGCGTTCGACTACTTCACTCCCTATCCTTAGTTCAGGTGTTGACGCACACCAGTCCTGAAGCAACAACTTGCATTTAGAGGGAGAGAAGCGCATCCCAAACATTCTGGCATTGTTGCTCAGTGCTACCAGAAGACTCTGCATTTTGTCAGCGTCTTCACCAAACAGGACTATATCATCTGCGTATTCTAAGTCGATAAGTGGACCTCCTGGAAGGAGATCAATACCCGAGAATTCAGTCGACGAGAGTGTTATTTCCATCAATAGGTCTATGATGAAGTTAAACAAAAATGGAGAAAGTGGACAGCCTTGACGGACACCACTTGAAGTTGCAAAAGTAGATGACAGTTCGCCATAAGCCCTGACTCGACTAGTAGTGTTCGAGTAAAGAGCCTTCACAAGGTTTATGTACTTCTGAGGTACGCCTTTCAATGACAGACACTGCCACAGAGTCTCGCGGTCTACAGAGTCAAATGCTGCTTTTAAGTCAAGAAAGACCACCATCGTCGGACGCCGATAGGTATGCCTGTGTTCTAGAACCTGACGAATGGTGAATATGTGGTCGATGCAGCCACGACCAGGTCTAAAGCCAGCTTGGTTCTCTCGAGTTTGTAGTTCATGAGTCTTAGTTAGGCGTCTGATAATTATCGAGGCCAGTATTTTAGATACTATGTTTGTTAAACTAATCCCTCTGTGGTTGTCACAGGATGATTTTGACCCTTTCTTATATATTGGGACGATGTGTGATTGCGACCAGTCAGATGGGATAAAGTCTAATTCCCAGATCTTAGCTAAAATATTAGTCAACCTAATCGCTAAAATTGGACCACCATCCTTAAAGATCTCTGGAGCCAATCCATCTGGACCAGCTGCTCTTCCTCGTATCAGATTAACTATAGCCTTTTGAACTTCAGCAAGAGTTGGGGGACCTACTTCAATGTTCCATTCACATTGTCTGGGAATGGAGGGTAGTTGTAGAGTAGCTGAAGGCCAGCTGAACTGTTCCGCCCATCGTTCTAAACGTCTGGACTGGGAGCAGATGAGAGTATCATCTTTTTCCGAAATAATCTCACTTACACTTGACTTATTAATTCCAGTTTCTTTTATTAGTCTGTAAAGCTGTCTTGTGTTCCCTATAGTCGCCGCCTTTTCCATCTCTTTTGCTTTCGTTACCCACCACTGCTCACGGTCGTTCCTTAGACTTTTTCTTAACCTAGATCTGATTTGTTTTCGCTCTTCATCATGTTCAGAACCTGATGGGACGAGTTTGCGAGAATCCATCAGTGTGACAGACCTTGAAGAAATCCACTGGTTCCTTGCAACTCTGTGGTTTAAGTCACTAATAGATGTCACTGCTGTTTCCACAGCTGATTGCATGCCCTTCCAAGCAACATCTGGGTCAGCCTCGTCTTCACAACTACCTAAGTGTGACCTCAGTTGTTCCTGGAACCTACTTTTGGTTTTCTCGTTACTCAACTCAGTTCTAACGGGTCTTTTTAATGCGGCTTTTTTGCGTCCAGTGAGGCGCAAGCAGATGCGTGCCCGTATTAGGGCATGGTCGGAGTCCAAGCAGGTACTCCAGAATGAGCGACAATCTTCTACCGACCCTCTCCAACGATGACTGATGGCAATATGGTCTATTTGAGTCCATCGTTGGTTTGGTGTAGGGGGTCGCCATGTTAGACGATGTCTCTCCTTATGCTTAAAATTTGTGTTTGCTAAAAATAAACGATTGTCTGAGCATAGCTGCAGCAGACGATCACCATTATCTGTTCGCTGTGTCGGAATACTAAAATATCCACCTAAATGCCTTTCTGTTTGGTTTAAGCTTCCTATCTGAGCATTAAAATCACCTGCTACGAGTACTATGTCTGAGCGTTTAGCTTTCTGAAGAAGTTCAGAAAGCTTTCTGTAAAATTCATCTTTCACTTCATCTGAGCTGCAGTCAGTGGGAGCGTAGACAGAAACGACAAAAAGGCAACGACGTGTGTCCCTATCCCTCCGAGTTCTTACGTAGCCGTTCAGCCGAACAGCACATAGACGACTGTTGATGGGGATCCACTCGATCAAATAAATAACTTTAAAATATATTCGTAAGCGAATATCAAGATAATTTTAAGCAATTAATCCCTTTCCTACATTTCGATAAAGCAATTAGAAGACGGAGTTGATCTGAAAAATGTGATGTATTCGCGCTAAACATTTCGAATAATCTGGTCACACATAACTACCAGGGTATTTTTATATGAAAATTAATAAACGTCAATTAAATGATAGAACAAGAAATTGTAGTGTTTTCCTAGGCCATAAAATGACTTAAGGATTACCAAGGTAAATCCAAGGTTACGACAAATAGTTTTTGTACACATAAGTGGAATTTAAATTTACGAATAGTCAAGGCTTCTATGAACCTAAGAGTTCGTCCTTGACAATTTCTATACAACGTTTTGAAAGCTGTGCTGATGTTAATTCTGTGCGCCGTTGCAACTATGTGTTTTGCTATCGATGAACATGGTTTTCTACCTCCAATGTTGATCGGACCATTTGACACTAATTGGTTTTGAAGCCAGCTAGGCACATGTACCATAACGCTTGATTGCACTGTTCGATTACTCCACCCTAATTGTGTCCACACAAACATGTAAATTGGTAAGTGGGATATGATGCAATCGTCCGTGCATTTTCTAGGTCTATTTGGGATCATGGGCTTAGTCTTTTTAATCACAACCAGTTTAGCAGCGTTATATGTTTTCACGATAGCTGCTTTTAATATGTCTTCAAACCATACTATTAGATTCACCTTCGAATGGTAGACAGATATAAACAGTTTTATTCAGAACAGAATAAACGAGAGGTTTTAGTGCTGACTGACTTCTGCACCTATCTATAAAATTTACTGGATAATTATTTGTTATTAGTGTCACTCAGCAGTTTTTCGTATTCTCCAACAGTATCTGTGGGCACTTAACCAAGCCTGGTTTTTATTGCGATAGACAGAAATTCTGGAAATTTAGATATTGACCAGCCTGACAGTTTTATAGTACCATCCACACTTCGACTAAAAAGTATGTCTAAAAAGGGCTATTGGCCATCATTTTCTGCTTCATAGTTCATTACGATATCGATTTGGACCCCATTGAGTTTATCTAATAACCGGGAAACCTCAAAATCTTTATTACATATAACTAGCATATCATCCATGTATCTTCCATGCTCGTCATACTTTCAACATTTGACAAATACAGCAGCTAAGAGAGGCCCCAAAGGGCTTCCCATAGCAACACCATCAACTTTCGAAAATATTCGTCTTCAAACGTGAACTGGACATTTGCAGTACATAATAAAATTAATTCTTCCAACAATGATGACCAAATAGGAAAAAGGGGAAAATTAGTAGATATATAGTCACAAACGAAATCCAGTCTTAGTTAACCGTACATTCGTAAAAAAGAAGTTTACATAAAAAGAATCCAAAGTCTTATCCTTATTAATGTCCCCAAGAAGATCAATTATTTCAAATGTATCTTTCAAGGAAAACTTACATAATTTATTACGGATTGGGTTTAACAATTTTCCTAACCATTTAGCTAGTTTCTGTGTAGGAGAACCACGCATATATAAAATTGGTTGTACTGGATTATTAGGCTTATGAATTCTAGGCAATCTATATAAATTTGAGAGAACAGAACTGGGAGATTTTGGCAAATTAACTTCCTCTTTGTCCATCCTATTCATTGTAAGAAGCTTTAGTAGATTAGACTACTCTAGATCTCAATTTTATAACATTAGTATTGGATGGAACGTCCTGCAGGAACCTACTCTGATCACCCAGTATAGATAACATATTTTCTTTAGTCACACTTATTAATAAGAACTACCCCTGAACCTTTGTCAGTTCTAAAAATATCAATATCTGACCTCCGTCTTCTAGTTTCTCCAAGGTAATTTTATTTTGAAGTCGTCTCAATATTTATATGAACAAATTCAATCTAATGACTTTCATTACCTAAGTGTAGTATTTATTTTAAACAGTTCGATCTAATTCTAGTGAAAGTTCAAATCAAATAATTCCACTAAGAACAATAAAAGAAAACTACTGATTCATTAAAAAGAATGACGATATTTCAGAGAAATTTTTCTTTTCGACGATATTATTTAACTGAAACTTATGTTCCTTTGATAGAAACCAAAACATTAAGTCGAAAGTACTCATACAGTCCCAAAGTTTTATTTATGAGAACTGAATTCAAGAGAGATGTGGCTGCTGAGATACCGAAAAGCACAATAGATCTCTGAGAAAGACGTCTCATTCATTGGAGCTTCGAATTGTTTTGTCCAGTAAGAAACCCACTCAGGGAAGAATCGTGATTAGAATGTCGCATTAGGTTACCTATATGTGGATTATTCATTTTACTTGGTTATGTGGACCATGCTGTATGAGCTGTATAAAGCATGTGCATGGTAAGCAAATGTCCGAGGACTATCCTGCATAGATATTTACAAGGGAATGCAAATCAATCAACAGCTCGATCATTTAACACATGGTCAACATTGGTTACATGCCATCACGAGAGTCGTCGTTTAAAATAATCTACAATGTCCTGCTTCGGTTTGGGCACCCAGGCAGTATCAAAGCCCTCACACATATCGAATGAGATTTGTGTGGTGCATATGTATTTGGTGCCTCCTTGTACCAATATCTATGTGTTAAAACAAATAAATCTACAATGTAAGAAAAAACTGGCTCGAAGACGATTCGCACGAAGAATGGGTGCACAGCTATAGCAAATTAATATCTTAAACCCCACCTCTGTGTACAAAAGGGTCATGCTCAATCCCTTATTCTTCGATAGCCTTAGAACCTCTCGCAATCTTACAAGTCGTAAGTGATAATTATTAGCCTTTTTACCTTCTCTATTGTAAAGTAAACAACTATCTTTTGCATTCATTTTATAATTAATTTCTATTACTTCCGAAATTATTTCATAACTTCATTTCATGATGTTCGACTGCTTGGCTAAATGATGTAACGCTAATTTTATTTAATGTTTGAAAACTTTCGATAACTTCAAATACTTCGAGATGATACACTTCCATTTATTAGTCATTATATTCAATACTTAAAATCTGATAATCTTTAGTTACTTCATTTCCATAAACTTTTACATCCGATACTCGAATAAGTGTGTGACCATCTTTGATCATTTTGTAACACGCCTTTATTTTGTTCTAGACTACTAAATGCAAAGGGCTACCTATAAGGACGATTGTGCAGCTTCGGAAAATAATATCATCGAGAAGAAAATTTTCTTCGCTAAAACATCTTTATTCTTTTTAATCTCGTCCAACTTTAATTCCATGACTAATTCAGGTATAGGATTTGCATTTAGGAAATTATCAAATTGTTGAAAAGGGGAATTGATAAGACTATATAAAATCAATCAAACTTTTAGTACGTAGATGGGAATGTTCATGGTTAGTTCGTTAATTATTCCAGCGTAGTTAAAATAATATGACAACATGATTTAAGTGAATTAATAGGATCAAAGAATTCTTTTACTAAATTAGAATTGCAATGGTTAAGATCATGAGTCAGTTGAAGCTAGACCACCATGGAAAACTTGGAAGCACTGGATGGCCGTTCCGTCCTATTGTGGGACTCCTCAGTAGTGCGCATCCACGACCTCGTCCCCCGTGAGATTCGAACCCAGGACCTACTGGTTTAGCGCGCGAGCACCTAACCACTAGACCACTGAGCCGGCATCCAATGGTGTTAATGTCCAACTTCAACTAATCCACGAAATTGAGCGACATATCCACCATTAGAATTGGATAAAAAGTATAATTTATTGTATGTATAAGTAAATAGGAAGCTAAAATTAAGAACTTTACCAATTCTCAAACCAGATGGTTGCTGTGCACTAGAATCACCAACAACTGTATTTTTGTTTAGAACAATACCAACAAGATCACCAATCATTTGAACTCGTGCTCCATCGCCCCGACCTAATTTTGGTTTACTAGGTGAGTTAGATAAATCAATAAGAATGAAATGGACATCAGTGCCACCTGTCACAAGGCGGATACCGAGTGATGTAAGAGCATTAGCCAAAGCTTGAGCATTTGCTAAGACCTGACGAGCATAATCTTGAAATTCAGGTCTACTTGCCTAGATCAAATGTAAATGTGCACAGAGAATTATTTTAATTACTAATTAATTTGTCATTAACAATCAAACTGTTATCAACTTCATTATTACTTAATTATAAATAATGACACTATTATTGATCATTAAAAGGACTAGATAGACAGTTTATTATCATTCGTCACGTAGCACTAACTTTATGTAAGAAAAATACTATGGATAGCGCAAATGCACGCAAGTTATGGAGTGCTGATTGTGTTGGTCTAAACAGTATTGATTCTCATGGTGTTTGGAAAATGAGCATGTAAATCTATTTATGGGAAATAAAAAGAAAAACAAATTAACCCAAAAAGCTATGTATCACCAAATAACGTACCTCAAACGCCATAGCAGCAATAGCAGCTATTGCATTCTCATGTGGTCCGCCCTGAAGGCCAGGGAAAACTGCATTATTTATTCTTGTTTCCAACTGATCAACAGGAATGCAACAGTTTACTTTAGGTTTCTCCATAGATCTCTCTTTTTTGCGATAAAAAATGACTCCAGAGCGCGGTCCACGTAGAGTTTTATGTGTTGTAGAACTCACAACATCCGCATATTCAAATGGTGATGGGATAATTTTTGCAGCAACTAGACCTGAAATATGGGCCATATCAGCTAGTAATACAGCTCCAACTGAATCACAAATCTAGGAACACGAATAAAAACTGAGTCAATGTTGACACCACGCATCATTGAAATTACATAAATAGTGTACTTAAAAAATGTTTCGATTCGATATACATTTGGCTCTACAATCTAATAACCATTATAATACGTTTTAATGTAAAACGTGACAAACTTAATATGTCCTGATACGTGCAGATCATTATTTATATCCCACATAAAACGTTTTGAACCAAACTAATCATCTGAACACTGAATCCTGAGAATTTTGTTCGTTATAGACCAATACTGTTTGATTTGTAGTGCACCAATAAGTATTCCCATGATTAAATATTCGGTATTCACCCAAATTATACACATTGATTTTACCGATTGATATGATCCTATTATTACCTCTCATGTTACACACACATAACTACAGCAGGGATCAACACATGATACACTAGACATTTGTAAATTGGCTTAAGAGACTTTTTTATTAGTAAGTAGACCCAAATTATAAGCAACTGTTCAAAAATGTTGCCTTTTGATATACTATGGGTCAAGTTAACTGTTACTGGCTTGGGAGGTTATTTTATTTCAATAACTAAGTACAGTCATTATAACTACGGTCATGCCGTTGATACAGACAAACCTATGTAGCGTATACAGATGACTGATTGTGTGATTTGTACAACTTTTATTCCCATTCTTTAAACTACGTCATCCATTTATTTTTCTTAATTACTCGGTTTGTCGAGTAGGATTGTGGTTCTATAAATATACTAAACCATAAGAGCATTTGACTGTGACTTAAAATTCCTTTAAATGTCTGATGAACATGGGTTTTTGTCAGTGTGTGTTAGCTACTATTAGGAACAACCAAATATCCAGCCCAGCAATTTATTATATTGTTGGTTAATGAAGTTAAATCAATCGAGTTTGTAAATTGTTCACATGTACTTAGCTACTGACTAATTTAAATCCACCAGTAGTTGTATCTGTTGCGGATTTATTTTGCAATATTAATAAATCCCCATCTGAAGTCTTCCCTTCTTTCTAAAATAGAGCCGTATGATTATCTGGTTCGTCGCAACAAATAGAAAGTATCAGTTTTCCGCAGCCATAACAGGTGGCCAGTATTTGCTACAAAAATCCTCAAGTGACGTGAATACATGAGTTTTAGAAACGCTTTAGGAAATTTCTAATCTTAAACTCATTTACGATATACAGATTCATACATTTAAACTTCTATACTTCCACTAAGGAATTCAAGTTTAAATGTCTAGATATGGGGCTTTATGAAGGATACATAGACAATCATTTCGTCAAACAAAAGATTTATAATTATGAACTCTGATGGAGAATTCGTGTCTTTTATATCAATACTCACAGATGGTGCAGTTTATATTGTAGATGATATTGGACTTTTGCTTCTGACCATTACGTCTTTTCTTTTACACAACATGAAGCAAATTAAAGAGATTCGTACTTAAATAATATTACCAACAGAATGTATAACTTTCTCTTACTCTTAACGATACTATTTCATGTTCGTGTGCCTGAACTTTGGAAAATACGATAAACTTTATTTAGTGGAAAGTGTAAGCTCAATCACAATATTATGCACGACTATTATGCTTATTCTTAAGATATGCTGTTTTACATTCAATCTATCACAATGAAACGTTATTTTGAGCGCTCATCATGAACTTTTGCTTTCTATTCTAAAATGCAAATTAACAGTTCGATAATATGTTTTTTGATAACCAAGTTGGTTCATTAACCTACTTGACGAAAACGCTTGTAATCCAGCAATCGTGGATAGGCGGTAATTCCAGCAATTATAAGTTTTGGGAATACATTGAGAGCATCTTGCTGTAGTGCATCATAATCGATCAGTTCCGTCTCCTTCTAAAAATGAGAAATATGAAGAAAACAAACAACAGTTAAATGATAATTTACACAAACAAATCCGACAAAATAAGACAACGCAGTACTTCATTTAAGAAAAGGATGGAACGAAATTTCAAGTAGACTACCAAGAACTAGACGACACCAAATATCTATGAAAATCAATTTTATGGAGAAATAATTACTTTTAGGTTTACAGGATTACTAAAACATCCACCCGTTACAAAAAATACGAGTAAGTAATGGCTAGCTAGGCAAAGAACCCAAATCTTAGTTTTCACTTGGTTACTGACTCGTTTGGGTACTATATTATTCACCATTTGAATATTCAAATTATTAACTCAGTAATCAACTAGTAGTTACCATGGGTTCACAAAACCAACGTAAACAAATGATCGATTCACTATTTGCATTGAGCGTAAATCATGTAGTGAACTGATAATTGGAACTAAAAATAAAAAAATTCCAGAAATCTGTGACAGTTCTATTTACTTGGTAAAATGCATGGACCAAGAAAAGCAGACAGATAATGGGAACATATATGGGTCCAGCAAGTAGGTATCGCAAACTTTTGAAACCTATTGCTTTCAAATCGACAGTAAACGGGTAGTGTGACTGAAATCCGGTTGAAAATAGCCAACTGTACCTTTATACATAAATTTATTTTGTATCTACAATCTAACAGGAAAGGCGTTTATTGTATGTGCCAGAATGGGTAGTGATGTGACAAATGGGAACAATAAATAGATGTGCGACCTGAAATATGAATATTATAAAAACCTTAGTAGCTTATCTTGTGACGTGCAGAGATCGTAAAATCCATAAGCATTACATTTCTATTAATCGGTAAAAATTTTCTACAGTGCTTAGACAAGACTGAAAAACCTGGAACAAGTACAACAAGGATTATGACAGTCCAAAAAATATGTACACAGGAACATTATGATCACCTATTCTGAGTACATAATAAAAAACTAAAAGCCGTTGCGAAATTAAACTGCAAACACAAATACTGAAACTTACATTTAGACGGTAGGGGATAGATTCGAAAAAAATAGATGTGGCACTAATCTTTTTTGACAAAGTCTGGAAACCATGTGTAAGGTGACCACCATCAGGTAAATGAAGACCCATTAACCTGTCATGAGGATTAAGTAGGCCGGTATATACAGCGAAATTCGCTGGGGACCCACTATACGGCTGAACATTAACACCCCACTCAGCATCACCAAGTGTTGCTCCAGGGGTTCTGAGACCGAAGAGATCTAATAATCTGGATTGCGCTAGTGTCTCAATAGCATCTATAACTTCATTTCCTCCATAATATCTGCAAATTAAGGTTTTCAGAAGCATAATAACAATTATGTGTATCTACATTGCACTTTTATTTTGCCAAATGAATTGTTTACCTGTCTATATATATATAGTATCCCATTGAGTAGAAAATAGTATTTCTGACGTTTCGTGACTCAATGTTAGTCACTTCTTCAGAGTAGATAAAAATTGACTTACATTAAGTCAAGAGACGTCAGAAATGCAACTTTCTACCAATTAAGATGTCACAAATTTACTTGGAACTATCATGTCCGACCCTGGAATTAATACCCACAAGCTCATTATGTTTACCTGTAGTTTGAAATCAAAACTCCAATACGAATGACAGTATTACAGATAATGTTTTCACGTGACAGAGGTGAAAAAAAAGCAAGACAATCAGAGTTAGGTGGCAGTTATGTTTGATACTAAAAAGCTATTTACAATAATAGGAATGCAATTAGTCAGCAAACCGTTCCAAAGTTAGCTAAAATTCTGACGTCAGAGCTTTTTATTTTCAAGATGTGGGTGCAGCTGAAACTATTAATACCACCATAAGTAACATGATTAAACGATTTACGAGTATTTCCATCAACAGCTTTTAATATACACTAAACCAATAATACAAATAAGTATGATCAACTTCTTTGTTTTAATGTAGACACCGAAGATGAAACCAGTTGCCATATATCTGGAGTCCACCCAATTGTTTCGTGAAAATATTTGCTTCTCTATAAAATCATACATGAACAGCGAATATAGAAAGTGGTGTCAAAACGTGTCTAAATACAATAGTTATAGGTAATTGTGTTTGGGGAAACAACCTAAAGTTGATAATAATTAAGCAAACTACTTTCAGACTCCTTTCCACTTCGGAGATGTTAACAAACAGTGCATGACTGAAATCGTTTACTTTTTGGTCATACTACGAGTGGGTTTTAAAAAACATATGATTAAAGAAACAAACACATTGATTATTCAGATTACAATACAGTGACATCACATGAAGGAGATTGGTTGGTATAAACAACTAGGTAGTAAACAAACCTATTCATTAAAGCATTGTCCAAGAACTGGCTAACATGTCAAATATATTTATTAGTTTGGAAATAGAAGTGTTTGTGATAATGACTGAAACAAACTTAGGTCCAGTTTAGTTATCCAAAATATCCAATCAGTACGGTTACTGAGAATAAACACCAAAGGTTATGGATAAACAATGGATGTTATTGTTGTTGAGAACACTATAATAATCTGAGAATCCTACTTACAACTACCACCATCTAACTAACTGTAATTTTTATTATGTCGAAGGTGCTAAATGAAGACAGATATAGCCATTCGTACAGTCATTTCAGTGAAGAGATAGATAGATTCTTGTGGTATTTGTGCAAACTAATGATTCCTTTGTACTTGACGGCTCACAGATTACGAATCACAAATACAATACGTTAATTTGTGTTCACTTACTTCTACATGACTTAAATTGCACTATTTCGGAAATTCTTAGTTAGCACATTAGTTTGAGTACTACTAAGTGTCATAATTCCTCACGCAAAAAAAGCATGTGGTAAATGAATAACAAAATACAGAACAAACAGACTGAATCATTCCAGATATTAAAACACCACCTATATACACAGTATTCAGTCAAGGCATAGCAGTTACCACACAAAAAACAGTGAGAAAAAAAGACATTTAAAATTAAAGTACCGAGAACGAGTTTCTAACGAGCGTGAAAATTATGGACTTATAACGATTTAGTGTCTGAAAAAGTAGCACCTCAAATTCCAGATAGCTTTAGTTGGACAACTGGTGTCAAGGTTCTTTAATAAATGGAATACATCTTGATTAGCTACCGTCTTGAAGTCTTAACCAAGGATTTATAGCATCCATTGATACAGAACCCTACTTCCTTTACCTTCAGTGAATGATATTCTTGGGAAAACGTTGATTATCTCGCTATCCACAGTCGATAGCCTGGCTACGTATTAAGACTGAAATGCTTACGAACACAATATAAAATCATGTTAGTTTACACCTTATTACCTACATTTCAAGGTGCCACTTCACAAATAGAAAAAGATCTAAATCTAGAATTGGTACAATGTCACGATGTCAAGATATGGAGAACGATACGATGTAAGAGTGATAGCTTAGAACTTCAAAATGACCTGAAGAAGTTATCTGAATGGTCTCAAACATGGCAGTTGACGATAAATACTTCCAAGTGTGTTGTGATGCATATCGGTCATCAAGGCACAGATACATACACGATGAATAACACTGAGCTACCTGTCGTCCAGACATATAATGACTTAGGGGTTATCGTTAGTCAAGACTTAAAGACTACTGCACACTGCCGTGCAATAGCCGCCAAAAGTTTTAGAACGTTATGGTCAATACGTAGGGCTTTTAGTCATGTCGACGCTAAGACGTTTTTGACTTTGTATACAGTGTTCGTTCGTCCTAAACTTGAGTACTGCATACAAGCGGCTAGCCCCTGCTTTAAAAAAGACAGTGAGCTTCTGGAAAAGGTTCAGAGAATGGCGACTAAGCTGGTTCCCGCAATAGCGAAGCTTCCGTATGAATCTCGACTGGCCAAGCTGAACCTTTTCCCGTTGTCATATCGCAGAACTAGAGGCGACTTGATTACAGTCTACAAATTGCTTAGTGATAAATTTGCACCTAACATGCCCTCATTTTTCTTGTCTTCCAAAACAGAGAATTTACGAGGACACTCCAAAAAAGTTCATAAGCCGAGAACAAATTACTTGTCAGCTGACTATCGACTTTCCCATCGAATCATCAACGAGTGGAATTCACTACCTCAGCACGTGGTTGAGGCTCCATCCGTCGACTCTTTCAAAAGAAAGTTGGATCAACTGAGAGACCACCATTGCCAGGACTAACATAGGCCATCGAGCCTCCTGTCCTTCCCAAACTGAAACTGAAACAATAATCATAAGATCTGGAAGAAATCATAGGTAAATAATTACATGGTGGTTTGGGGTTTCGGAATGTAATGTGTGCATTGCAACTTAATTCAAACCGTATTACTTAGTCTTAACTGATTGGTACAGCGTTCGCGAGTGGTTCAATAAAATAGACTTTACCCACTTAAACGGTCGAGGTTAGCAGTCAGAAACTCCATGAACTCAGACTACACGTAGAGGGAATAATAGTTAGTCTCATTAAGCTTTTTGATAGCCTGACATAGCCCTACCCACTTCCAGTATCAACGCCAGATTGCCGGAGAGCTCTCAATATTAAAATTATTTTTCGACGAACATACCTCGCAAAGGGGTATCCTTCTGAATATTTGTTTGTTAAACATGAGCCAAGACATTCAAGAATACTTTGTGATACAAAGTTCTGAAAATGCATACAGATGGGCCAAGGAACATACTTCCGAAGCAATTAATTCGAGTGATGATCGTTGTCTAGTTTTTTCTTTTCGTATCAATTCCCACAACTCAACGTCTTTAATTTCCAACATCCTTGTACCATACTTCGCTGACGGGCATACCATGGGACTAGTTGCTTTCAAGCAACATTGGATATGATACCATAAGTGCTTAGTGACCTTCATCGACGCAGTTGGTCAAGTGTCTGTTCACGTCTAGCCTGGTAGTACTTTAGGTACTATAGGAGTGCAAAGAGTTGTATGTGTGAGGATAGCTGAAAGTTGGAAAAACAGGAGGAAAAGTAAGCCGAAAACTCAGTAAGTGCATAAAATGCACTTGGTCCTAATAAGGAAAACAAAGAAAAAACAACCAGTAGCACAACAAGCCTAAAATTAGGATAACTTGGAATTTATTACAAGGAGGGGCTGGGTATACCCAGTTTGTATATAAACTCCATGTTGTCGAATCATTCAAGTGTATTGTGGTCAGTGAGTACAGTTGTCTTTTCGACTATCTGGTCACTCAATTGTAAACATCTTGGAATAATTTACATCAACGAGACCACAATTTATGGACGACCTTTGAGCGATGCTAAAGTGACCTCGAGAATGTTCACCCACTAACTAGGACTAAATGAAGGTCATAAACCAGTGTGGGGAATTAGTTTCAGTTTCAGTTTCAGTTTGGGAAGGACAGGAGGCTCGATGGCCTATGTTAGTCCTGGCAATGGTTGTCTCTCAGTTGATCCAACTTTCTTTTGAAAGAGTCGACGGATGGAGCCTCAACCACGTGCTGAGGTAATGAATTCCACTCGTTGATGATTCGATGGGAAAGTCGATAGTCAGCTGACAAGTAATTTGTTCTCGGCTTATGAACTTTTTTGGAGTGTCCTCGTAAATTCTCTGTTTTGGAAGACAAGAAAAATGAGGGCATGTTAGGTGCAAATTTATCACTAAGCAATTTGTAGACTGTAATCAAGTCGCCTCTAGTTCTGCGATATGACAACGGGAAAAGGTTCAGCTTGGCCAGTCGAGATTCATACGGAAGCTTCGCTATTGCGGGAGCCAGCTTAGTCGCCATTCTCTGAACCTTTTCCAGAAGCTCACTGTCTTTTTTAAAGCAGGGGCTAGCCGCTTGTATGCAGTACTCAAGTTTAGGACGAACGAACACTGTATACAAAGTCAAAAACGTCTTAGCGTCGACATGACTAAAAGCCCTACGTATTGACCATAACGTTCTAAAACTTTTGGCGGCTATTGCACGGCAGTGTGCAGTAGTCTTTAAGTCTTGACTAACGATAACCCCTAAGTCATTATATGTCTGGACGACAGGTAGCTCAGTGTTATTCATCGTGTATGTATCTGTGCCTTGATGACCGATATGCATCACAACACACTTGGAAGTATTTATCGTCAACTGCCATGTTTGAGACCATTCAGATAACTTCTTCAGGTCATTTTGAAGTTCTAAGCTATCACTCTTACATCGTATCGTTCTCCATATCTTGACATCGTCAGCATATAGCAAGACCGATGATGATAGGAGACAAGGAAGGTCATTTACATACAAGAGGAATAGCACTGGCCCCAAAACTGTACCCCGCGGGGACTCCACTAAGCACGGTTTCCCAGCTAGACAACTTGGAGTTCACCCTTTCTCGTTGTTGACGCCCAACTAAGAAGTCTTTTATCCACATCAATAAATTACCTCCAATCCCGACATGTCTTAACTTATATAACAGCCGGTTGTGCGGAGCTTTATCAAAAGCTTTACTGAAATCAATGAAGGCGACGTCTACAGGTAGCTTTTGGTCCTTAAGAGCACACCAGCTTTCACGAGCCACTAATAAGTTAGTGAGACAAGAATAACCTATTCTGAAGCCATGCTGCTTCTCCGAGAGGATCCGGTTTTTATCGAGATACTTAAACAGCTCCTTCCGAATAATCTTTTCTAATATTTTAACAACCACACTAGTTAGGCTAACGGGGCGGTAGTTCTCAGGTTTGTGTTTCGTGCCTGTTTTGAAGACAGGACTTACTATGGCGTTTTTCCGATCTTTCGGTAAGCGACCCTGCGTAACGGATAGGTTAAAGCATGTACTTAAAGGGTTCGCAACGAAGTTAGATGATTCCTTCAGTAGCCTAGGATGTAATTCATCGGGCCCCGTGGATTTACCTATGTCAAGCTTATTTAGCAGACCAAAGACATCGAGTTCTTTAATGGTCACGCTATCCAGTGTATGTATGGGGGGATCTGTGTACGCTGACGAGAAGGGCGCTTCTATGGTATACACGTTGCTAAAGTAGTTCGAGATCGCTTGAGCCTTACCAAAGTCGTCCTCCACTAATGATGAAGCAGTACTGTCTCTCCATAGAATTATGATTTCCAGTTGATGGTTAGGGTAAGAAATAGATTTGTGGTTTTTATCACTAACTGACATCAACTGGGATTCCGAAATGTTATCTAGCTAAATAAAAGGATGCAGTTCACGCCAAAATCTAAGACCCGCTATCATAAACCGGATTGTTTAACGGATGAATTACAGTCTCACCGCTGATATGAATTTATTGTTCTGATTGTTTACTACGTATAACAGCTACTGTATTCACTTAAATTTGAATTTCAGTTCAAGCAGTCACAGAAATAACTGCTTTTTTAGAAGCAATTTATAACCTGTACTTTTGAATACCTTGAAGCTTTTAGTATTTAATTTCACTTTTGCTTGCTTACTTACCTACTTACGCTTGTAACCTCTCGTGGAGGAGCATGGGTCGCCCACAAACACTCTCCATCCAACTCTGTCCTGGGCAATCCTTTCCAGTTAATATTCATCCCTTTGATGTTGTAGCGGTAAATAAATCCCCAAAATACATAGCACTAAGTTTTCGACATTGGATACTGACCATATATTTTAGTGGACTCATCTAGCTGAAGGCGCTCAGTCATGCATCCGCACCAGATCACGTGTGGTAACGCCGTGCTCAACATCAACCGCAATCGCTAGCCAGATTAGATCAGAGAATTCCGATATATTGGTCATTATCGTACTTCATACTTCATCATGACTGAACAGACACCTAAAGTACTCAAGCTTAAGACTTTGTCCCCGCCTTCGTTTCAACTGATGCCTTTTTGGCCCGACAACATCGCAGCCTGGTTTTGCTACGCAGAAGCCGACTTCTCCGAGCACGGCGTGATCGACACACGTGCACAATTCCTCGCAGTAGTCAAGGCACTACCGCGCGAATTCAACAGGTACGTAAAACCTAGTATGTTTACTAGTGATGTTTCCGATCCTTACGAAATCTTAAAACGCTCGATTCTTAAACGAGGAGACCTAACCGATCGACAACGGTTAGATCAAAACTTCAACAATATCGACCTGCAACACAGTTCTGCGACGGACATGTTGCAACGGATGAGAGAGGTAATAGGCCCAAGAACTTTCGACGAAGGCCTATTCAAACAACTCTTCTTGTCAAAACTTCCCCAACAGGTGCAAGCAGTTCTGGTCTCGTTCCAGAACAACGCCCTAGACGAGCTAGCTGCATCTGCCGACCGCATTTTAGAAATTACGAAATCTACTACCGAGGTATTTTCAGTCAAAGAAAAACCTCAAACGACTCAGAATGATATAAACGACTTATGTCACACACTCACGCGTTATCTTAGTCTTCGTACCGACCGTAAGAGATCGCGCACACCACGTAGAAGCGTTTCTCGTAAGCGATCTGTCTCTAGACCACGAGAGACAGATAACCCCGACCGGTGCTGGTATCATAACCAGTATGGGAAGCTTTCCAGAAATTGCAGAAAACCTTGCAATTTTCCCAACACGAAACCGACTGATTCGAAAAACAACTCGGGAAACTTCCAAGCCGGCACGCGTTAACGGCAACCGTAGCCGGCGAACATAGCCGTCTGTTATTCGTCACAGATGTGACAACGAGAGTTCGCTACCTCGTCGACACTGGCGCAGAAGTTAGCGTTCTCCCAGCAAATCCTAACGACCGACTTCACGAATCGACCCTCAACTTACAGGCGGCAAACGGAAAACCGATCGCTACGTATGGCAAAAGGTACGTTTACCTTAACGTGGGTTTACGCAAACCCATCCACTGGATTTTCGTTGCTGCAGATGTTTCTATGCCAATCATTGGTATGAAAATTCTACGACACCACAATCTGATCATCGACACTCGCAAACGGAGGCTAGTAGACGGAAACACTAATTTGTCCGTTTGCGTAACTTCTTTTACTGGTTGTAGAGTATCCCCAGTCACAGTTAAACATATGATAGACCCACTCTATCAACCACTACTCGATAAGTACCCTGGGATACAACAAACTCAGTCGAAACTACAGTGTGTAACCAGCAATGTTACACACCACATCACGACTACAGGAAAACCTGTATTCTCTAAAGCACGACGACTAGCTCCCGAAAAGCTAAGGTTAGCGAAAAACGAATTCGGTCACATGATGGACTTAGGAATCATACGACCGTCAAGTAGCCCATATGCATCTCCGTTGCACATGGTCCCTAAAAAGGACAGCAGCGATTGGCGTCCAACTGGTGACTATCGGCGATTGAACGCGAAAACCATTCCCGATCGTTACCCGTTGCCTCACATTCACGATTTGACAGCTACCTTGAAAGGTACAACTGTCTTTTCGAAAATCGACTTGGTTAAAGCGTATAACCAAATCCCTATGGCTACTGACGACATACCGAAAACAGCTATCATAACTCCCTTCGGACTCTATGAATTTTTGCGAATGCCTTTCGGTCTAAGGAATGCTGCTCAAACATTCCAAAGATTCATAGACGACGTTTTTCGAGGTCTCAACTTCGTACACGCGTATGTTGACGACTGTCTAATCGCAAGTCCGGACAGAGAAACACATCTCAAGCATCTGGATCTTGTTTTCGAACGACTACAAAAACATGGCATAACTGTAAACGTTCAGAAATGCTAATTCGGAACCGACTCGTTAGACTTCCTAGGACATACTATCGATGCTCGAGGCATTCGACCTCTTAGGACCAAAGTGGCGGCCATTCTGGATTACCCAGAACCGACCACCGTCAAGCAATTACGCACGTTTAACGGCCTTATAAGTTTCTATAGACGATTCATACCGAAATGCGCATTACTCATGAAACCTCTTACCGACCAACTTCGTGGAAATGCGAAATCAATT